TCGTTCATCACAAAATGCCCCAGTGACTCAGCGCACCGATGCCATTCATTACCTCCAATAGCAGTTTTTTGTTTAATTATCAAACCCGGTGGCTGATTACCGCTAAATGAATATGCAATGCAATTAAGACCACAACTCGTCCATTAGTCTAATCAGTGCTTTGAGTTAATGAGACGTCGTTGTGTTGTTTTGGCTCGGTAATTTTGTTTCGCAAACGTTTACCGTATTCTGCGCATTATACGAACCACTGCACCCTCGACTTTCACATTTTAAAATACGCGGTGGTGTGAGTGGTGGGGGGATTGTGCGTCTTATAATCCAGAATACGGTCTAATTATTGTAATCTCAGCTGCTAAGCAGAGAGGGAGAGAGACCCCACTGTGTTTTGACAACAAAGATGAAGCAAGGTTAGTACAATCCACGTGCGCGCAACTCTCTTGTCACTGCCAATGCTTGGATGACGGCCGATTTCCGCGGTATTCAGGTCACCGTGGGGGGTTATTCGACCAGATCTCATCGCAATGATCAGCGCAGGGTTGGTGGTCGTGGGGAGCATGGACGTAGTAGCATACAAATACAGTACAACACGTTAATTTTGCTTGCACGTGATATTCAAACTGCCCTCTTGCCACAACAGACGGAGTTCACCACTGAGTGGCGGTGGCGTCACTACGGCGCTTGTGCCAGGCTAGGTGCACTTCGAGAGGGCCACGTGAAGTGTCGTGAAGGTTCGCTTGTCACGGGACAGACACCGACACACACAGTGGGACAGACCCACACACACACAGTGGGATAGACCCACACACACACACAGTGGGACAGACCCACACACACACAGTGGAATAGACCCACACACACACAGTGGGACAGACCCACACACACACACAGTGGGATAGACTCCCACACACAGTGGGACAGACCCCCACACACACACAGTGGGACAGACCCACGCACACACACACAGTGGGACAGACCCACACACATACACACACAGTGGGATAGACCCACACACACACAAGAGTGGGATAGACCCACACACACACACAGTGGGACAGACCCACACACACACAGTGGGACAGACCCCCACACACACACAGTGGGACAGACCCACACACACACATACAGTGGGACAGACCCACACACACACACAGTGGGACAGACCCACACACACACACACAGTGGGATAGACCCACACATACACACACAGTGGGACAGACCCACACACACACAGTGGGACAGACCCACACACACACACAGTGGGACAGACCCACACACACACACAGTGGGACAGACCCACACACACACACAGTGGGACAGACCCACACACACACACAGAGTGGGACAGACCCACACACACACACAGTGGGACAGACCCACACACACACACACAGTGGGACAGACCCACACACACAGTCGGACAGACCCGCACACACACAGTGGGACAGACCCACACACACACACAGTGGGATAGACCCACACACACACAGTGGGATAGACTCCCACACACAGAGTGGGACAGACCCACACACACACACCGTGGGACAGACCCACACACACACACAGTGGGACAGATCCACACACACACACAGTGGGACAGACCCACACACACAGTCGGACAGACCCACACACACACACAGTGGGACAGACCCACACACACACACAGTGGAATAGACCCACACACACACACAGTGGGATAGACTCCCACACACAGTGAGACAGACCCACACACACACACAGTGGGACAGACCCACACACACACACACACAGTGGGATAGACCCACACACACACAGTGGGATAGACTCCCACACACAATGGGACAGACCCCCACACACACACAGTGGGACAGACCCACACACACACACAGTGGGATAGACCCACACACACACAGTGGGATAGACTCCCACACACAATGGGACAGACCCCCACACACACACAGTGGGACAGACCCACACACACACACAGTGGGATAGACCCACACACACACACACACAGTGGGACAGACACCCACACACACACAGTGGGACAGACCCACACACAAACACACAGTGGGACAGACCCACACACACACACAGTGGGACAGACCCACACACAAACACACAGTGGGATAGACCCACACACACACACAGTGGGACAGACCCACACACACAGTCGGACAGACCCACACACACACACAGTGTGACAGACCCACACACACACACAGTGGGATAGACTCCCACACACAGTGGGACAGACCCACACACACACACAGTGGGACAGACCCACACACACACACAGTGGGATAGACCCACACACAGTGGGATAGACCCGCACACACACAGTCGGACAGACCCACACACACACACAGTGGGACAGACCCACACACACACACAGTGGGATAGACACACACACACACAGTGGGATAGACCCGCACACACACAGTGGGACAGACCCACACACACACACAATGGGATAGACCTACACACACACACACACAGTGGGATAGACCCGCACACACACACACGCAAAGTGGTTGACCTGACCCTAAACCTAAAAACATTGCCAAAGCTATCCCACCCCATGCTCAGCACTGTAACACCATGCCAAATGTCTAGCACTAAGTCACCCCATGTCTAGCGTTAAGTCACCCAATGTCTGGTAATGTCCTGCACGTTTCGCCAGTGATTACACCCGGCATCATCAGGCGGCAGCCAGACCAAATCTGAGTACGACGAAACGTTGTACTCAATGTTCTGCAACACACCGGTGCTGCTGTACTAGTAACGAATTGGCATGTTCTGTTTACGTGACAAACCTTACGAATCGGCTGCGTCGGGTGTTCGGTAGGTTAACGACACAACATTTATATATTTACGCAACCTAACCCCCCACAAAAAAAACACCTCTATTATGGATGATATTGGTCGCCAAAGCCTGCTACGTGTTAAACTCACCGCCATACGCTGAGCACTGTGTGACCATGGCTATTGCTACCTCACGCTGCATCTAACAGGCTTTCAACTCCGTGTCGAGTCCCACGCAGCTCAGTGTCGAGTACTTAAGTCACTTCACTGCCCGACGATTCGTCAGGCGTGTCTAAACAGCCATGCACGCTGCCCCATTCGCCCATCACTAAGGACACCTGCAGCTCCCTCTTTTTTTTTAAATTCCCACTGCGCAAACCGAACCGTGCCCCGGGGGATCCCGTGCCGTGCCGTGCCGAGCCGAGCCCGGCTCACGGGGAAACCCCCCGGGAGAGCCGCGTGACGTCACAGAGCCACCGCCCCGGCGTCGTCATGGTGACGCGGGTGGGGCTGCGAGCCTGCGTGACCGGCAACGTCTCACGGTTCGGTTCCGGTTCCAGGCACGGCTGACACCCCCAGTGGAGCAATGACAACAAAAACTCGCCCCGTGCCGTGAGGGCACCGTGCTGGCACGGATGTAGCCAGTGGAAAAAAAAAATAGGTGTGTTCGCGTCTATCTAAACTAAACTACTCAACTCATTTTTTGTTTTACCAGGTAAGGATCACCGAGTTACCCAGCGCCTAGCGGTAAACCACCCAGAGTCTAGACCTGTACTTAGCCTATCACAGAGTGACCCAGCGCCTAGCGGTAAACCACCCAGAGTCTAGACCTGTACTTAGCCTATCACAGAGTGACACAGCGCCTAGCGGAAAACCACCCAGAGTCTAGACCTGTACTTAGCCTATCACAAAGTGACACAGCGCCTAGCGGTAAACCACTCAGAGTCTAGACCTGTACTTAGCCTATCAGAGTGACCCAGCGCCTAGCGGTAAACCACCCAGAGTCTAGACCTGTACTTAGCCTACCACAGAGTGACCCAGCGCCTAGCAGTAAACCACCCAGAGTCTAGACCTCTAATTAGCCTATCATAGAGTGACACAGCGCCTAGCGGTAAACCACCCAGAGTCTAGACCTGTACTTAGCCTATCACAGAGTGACCCAGCGCCTAGCAGTAAACCACCCAGAGTCTAGACCTGTACTTAGCCTACCACAGAGTGACCCAGCGCCTAGCGGTAAACCACCCAGAGTCTAGACATGTACTTAGCCTATCACAGAGTGACCCAGCGCCTAGCGGTAAACCACCCAGAGTCTAGACCTGTACTTAGCCTACCACAGAGTGACCCAGCGCCTAGCGGTAAACCACCCAGAGTCTAGACCTGTACTTAGCCTATCACAGAGTGAGACAGCGCCTAGCGGTAAACCACCCAGAGTCTAGACCTGTACTTAGCATATCACAGAGTGCCCCAGCGCCTAGCGGTAAACCACCCAGAGTCTAGACCTGTACTTAGCCTATCACAGAGTACCCCAGCGCCTAGCGGTAAACCACCCAGAGTCTAGACCTGTACTTAGCCTATCATCATGTGACCCAGCGCCTAGCGGTAAACCACCCAGAGTCTAGACCTGTACTTAGCCTACTACAGAGTGACCCAGCGCCTAGCGGTAAACCACCCAGAGTCTAGACCTGTACTTAGCCTATCACAGAGTGACACAGCGCCTAGCGGTAAACCACCCAGAGTCTAGACCTGTACTTAGCCTATCACAGAGTGCCCCAGCGCCTAGCGGTAAACCACCCAGAGTCTAGACATGTACTTAGCCTATCACAGAGTGACCCAGTGCCTAGCGGTAAACCACCCAGAGTCTAGACCTGTACTTAGCCTACCACAGAGTGAGACAGCGCCTAGCGGTAAACCACCCAGAGTCTAGACCTGTACTTAGCCTACCACAGAGTGACCCAGCGCCTAGCGGTAAACCACCCAGAGTCTAGACCTGTACTTAGCCTATCACAGAGTGAGACAGCGCCTAGCGGTAAACCACCCAGAGTCTAGACCTGTACTTAGCATATCACAGAGTGCCCCAGCGCCTAGCGGTAAACCACCCAGAGTCTAGACCTGTACTTAGCCTATCACAGAGTACCCCAGCGCCTAGCGGTAAACCACCCAGAGTCTAGACCTGTACTTAGCCTATCATCATGTGACCCAGCGCCTAGCGGTAAACCACCCAGAGTCTAGACCTGTACTTAGCCTACCACAGAGTGACCCAGCGCCTAGCGGTAAACCACCCAGAGTCTAGACCTGTACTTAGCCTATCACAGAGTGACACAGCGCCTAGCGGTAAACCACCCAGAGTCTAGACCTGTACTTAGCCTATCACAGAGTGCCCCAGCGCCTAGCGGTAAACCACCCAGAGTCTAGACATGTACTTAGCCTATCACAGAGTGACCCAGTGCCTAGCGGTAAACCACCCAGAGTCTAGACCTGTACTTAGCCTACCACAGAGTGAGACAGCGCCTAGCGGTAAACCACCCAGAGTCTAGACCTGTACTTAGCCTACCACAGAGTGACCCAGCGCCTAGCGGTAAACCACCCAGAGTCTAGACCTGTAATTAGACTACCACAGAGTGACCCAGCGCCTAGCGGTAAACCACCCAGAGTCTAGACCTCTAATTAGCCTATCACAGAGTGCCCCAGCGCCTAGCGGTAAACCACCCAGAGTCTAGACCTGTACTTAGCCTATCACAGAGTACCCCAGCGCCTAGCGGTAAACCACCCAGAGTCTAGACCTGTACTTAGCCTATCATCATGTGACCCAGCGCCTAGCGGTAAACCACCCAGAGTCTAGACCTGTACTTAGCCTACCACAGAGTGACCCAGCGCCTAGCGGTAAACCACCCAGAGTCTAGATCTGTACTTAGCCTATCACAGAGTGACACAGCGCCTAGCGGAAAACCACTCAGAGTCTAGACCTGTACTTAGCCTACCACAGAGTGACCCAGCGCCTAGCGGTAAACCACTCAGAGTCTAGACCTGTACTTAGCCTACCACAGAGTGACCCAGCGCCTAGCGGTAAACCACCCAGAGTCTAGACCTGTACTTAGCCTATCACAGAGTGACACAGCGCCTAGCGGTAAACCACCCAGAGTCTAGACCTGTACTTAGCCTACCACAGAGTGACCCAGCGCCTAGCGGTAAACCACCCAGAGTCTAGACCTGTACTTAGCCTATCACGGAGTGACCCAGCGCCTAGCGGTAAACCACCCAGAGTCTAGACCTGTACTTAGCCTATCACAGAGTGACACAGTGCCTAGCGGTAAACCACCCAGAGTCTAGACCTGTACTTAGCCTACCACAGAGTGACCCAGCGCCTAGCGGTAAACCACCCAGAGTCTAGATCTGTACTTAGCCTATCACAGAGTGACACAGCGCCTAGCGGAAAACCACTCAGAGTCTAGACCTGTACTTAGCCTACCACAGAGTGACCCAGCGCCTAGCGGTAAACCACTCAGAGTCTAGACCTGTACTTAGCCTACCACAGAGTGACACAGTGCCTAGCGGTAAACCACTCAGAGTCTAGACCTGTACTTAGCCTATCACAGAGTGACACAGCGCCTAGCGGTAAACCACTCAGAGTCTAGACCTGTACTTAGCCTACCACAGAGTGACCCAGCGCCTAGCGGTAAACCACCCAGAGTCTAGACCTGTACTTAGCCTATCACGGAGTGACCCAGCGCCTAGCGGTAAACCACCCAGAGTCTAGACCTGTACTTAGCCTATCACAGAGTGACACAGTGCCTAGCGGTAAACCACCCAGAGTCTAGACCTGTACTTAGCCTACCACAGAGTGACCCAGCGCCTAGCGGTAAACCACCCAGAGTCTAGACCTGTACTTAGCCTATCACAGAGTGACACAGCGCCTAGCGGTAAACCACCCAGAGTCTAGACTTGTACTTAGCCTACCACAGAGTGACCCAGCGCCTAGCGGTAAACCACCCAGAGTCTAGACCTGTACTTAGCCTACCACAGAGTGACACAGTGCCTAGCGGTAAACCATCCAGAGTCTAGACCTGTACTTAGCCTACCACAGAGTGACCCAGCGCCTAACGGTAAACCACCCAGAGTCTAGACCTGTACTTAGCCTATCACAGAGTGACCCAGCGCCTAGCGGTAAACCACCCAGAGTCTAGACCTGTACTTAGCCTATCACAGAGTGCCCCAGCGCCTAGCGGTAAACCACCCAGAGTCTAGACATGTACTTAGCCTATCACAGAGTGACCCAGTGCCTAGCGGTAAACCACCCAGAGTCTAGACCTGTACTTAGCCTACCACAGAGTGAGACAGCGCCTAGCGGTAAACCACCCAGAGTCTAGACCTGTACTTAGCCTACCACAGAGTGACCCAGCGCCTAGCGGTAAACCACCCAGAGTCTAGACCTGTAATTAGACTACCACAGAGTGACCCAGCGCCTAGCGGTAAACCACCCAGAGTCTAGACCTCTAATTAGCCTATCACAGAGTGCCCCAGCGCCTAGCGGTAAACCACCCAGAGTCTAGACCTGTACTTAGCCTATCACAGAGTACCCCAGCGCCTAGCGGTAAACCACCCAGAGTCTAGACCTGTACTTAGCCTATCATCATGTGACCCAGCGCCTAGCGGTAAACCACCCAGAGTCTAGACCTGTACTTAGCCTACCACAGAGTGACCCAGCGCCTAGCGGTAAACCACCCAGAGTCTAGATCTGTACTTAGCCTATCACAGAGTGACACAGCGCCTAGCGGAAAACCACTCAGAGTCTAGACCTGTACTTAGCCTACCACAGAGTGACCCAGCGCCTAGCGGTAAACCACTCAGAGTCTAGACCTGTACTTAGCCTACCACAGAGTGACCCAGCGCCTAGCGGTAAACCACCCAGAGTCTAGACCTGTACTTAGCCTATCACAGAGTGACACAGCGCCTAGCGGTAAACCACCCAGAGTCTAGACCTGTACTTAGCCTACCACAGAGTGACCCAGCGCCTAGCGGTAAACCACCCAGAGTCTAGACCTGTACTTAGCCTATCACGGAGTGACCCAGCGCCTAGCGGTAAACCACCCAGAGTCTAGACCTGTACTTAGCCTATCACAGAGTGACACAGTGCCTAGCGGTAAACCACCCAGAGTCTAGACCTGTACTTAGCCTACCACAGAGTGACCCAGCGCCTAGCGGTAAACCACCCAGAGTCTAGATCTGTACTTAGCCTATCACAGAGTGACACAGCGC